AAAATAGGCGAGATAGGTTGGTAGGACACCTTCTCAGGCATGAAGGTCTAGTCAGAGACATATTAGAGGCAGAAACAGGAGTTAGGAGGGGTAGAGGTAGACCTAGATTAGATTACTGTTTGCAAATAGTCAAGGATTTGGGTTGTTCTAGTTTTAGGGAAAAGTTTAGAGTGGAGGTACGTGTCCAACTAGTCTTAGGACTGACGACCTTATGATGAATGAAGTCAGATATAACTCAGGATGGAAGGAGCAGTAGAGATATAGAACAGAGGATAGCTCAGGGTCGAGTCGCTTTCAATAAAAAGAAGTCATTTCTATGCTCACGAACGATTAATTTAAAAATTCGAAAAATATTGTTGGGGTGTATGATTGGAGCGCGGCGCTGTATGGGTGCGAAACATGGACGGTGGACTAGGCGGAAAAGTAAAGGTTGTAAGCGTTCGAAATGTGGTGTTACTGGCGAATGATGAGGAAATCGTGGATAGAAAAGGTTAGAAATGAAGAGTATTAGAAAGAATAGGAGAACAGAGGACTTTATGGAAGTCAATAAGAAATAGGTGAGATAGGTTGGCAGGACTAGTCAGAGAAATATTAGAAGCAGAAACATGAGTTAAGAGGAGTAGAGGTAGACCTAGATTAGATTACTGTTTGCAAATAGTTAAGAATCTGGGATGTTCTAATTTTAAGGGAATGCGAAGATTAGCTCAGGATAGGAGTGCGTATCCGACCAGTTTTAGGACTGACGACCTTAGGGTGATAATATTTGATAATTTTTTTCGTGATTATACAGTAGCGATTTAAAAGAGATAAGTACTCAACAGAATTGAGCAAATTTTTAATGTTTATTAGGTACCTAATCATTTTAGAGATAAAAATGATGATAATGAAAGAATGAAAAGGGTAAAATTTATTATATACCGTTGCGATTCCGTGAATTAAAAGGGCTGCAAACAGTCCAACGACAAAGTATCCTGCGCACAATAGCATCGCGGCTGTGGGAAGGACAGTGTCTGATTCCAGTATCCATAGCAGTTCAAATCCAAAAGCTACCATATAAGCTATCTGGAAGAAAACGAATTAGTTATTAAGTACTTTTCACTTTAACGTCGAATATAATTTTGATAAATGATCTTACTGATCTAAACTTCTCTAATTGAATGCTTGAAACTTTTTGGTACTAAAGACAAAGAATTTTAATCGTCTTTTTTTCCACTTACACAAATTTTACCTATTTACAATATTAGTGTAGATTTTTTAAGATACAAAAAGACTCCTTGGAATAAAATAATTCGAAGTGGTCTGTATTCTGTCGAAACTGCCAGACGCGGATCGCGATTTCGATCTTTTTGGATCTCATCAGCGCGTCGCAGGCAGCTCCGACAGAACACAGACCAACTTTTATCTGCTGTCTTAACAGTGCGTTTTTAAGCTAACGTGCCTATCATGTTGAGGTTGGCTACGCCGAGATTAGTTTTCAGCAAGTAGATATCCACACAAGTGGACCTTGTTGGAGCATACGTAATCCTAAAACGTAGCATCGTGCTACAGATGGCGTTCACTGCGCCATTTGTAGTATTTTCTAAAACTCCTTGGAATATTCAAGTCTTTTATTAGCATTTTAGACTTCCCCCTCGTTTCACTTTATCGTTAATGTGTCTGAATATATGCAAATAAATCTTTGTTGTGCATACCCACTTGTAATTAGTTTTATGCTTGCATACAATTTAGTTGCTTTAACTTTTTATTATAAATGAAAGCCAATTAAAGCGTAAAATGTCGGTGATTGCTATCTCTAAGACAAACTCAATTATCTGAACGTGTACGAAATGTAGTTTATAATATATTTATATTTTTTCGTTGTTGTATGCAGTAATTGAAGCATTCAAGTCGCAGTTTAAACATTTTTCTTTTCGTTAAATGTTTAAATAAAACTACTATTAATTTACAATCAGTATATGGACGCCATTTCAGAAAACGTGACCGGCTGAAAAAAAAACCGTGCAAATCTCAATCATTTTATTAACTCATTATACATGTAGAACTGTCGTTTATATTATGTATTATGAATTAGAAATAATGATAGTGATACTTCTGTTTTGTTTGATTAATCAGTATTAACATCATTAAATCAGTAATGTAATCGGTAATAACTGAAATAATTTTGGAATGAAACGTACAATTTACCCTAGCGAGTTTGCTTATATCCTTTTAACGGTTACATGCCACCTGTAAGTTCGTCATGGAAATCAAAGCGAAACACTAAAAAGTGCAGAATCGGATTTAGGTTTAATAATTCTGTAGTCTAGGATATAGTGATAGGAACGGGGCCATTTTGACGCTAATCCTTTATCATAAGTATTTATGTTGAATTTAATTTTTGGGAATCTCCAGGAAAGTGGGTTTGTTCGGTTCAAAGATAACAAAAATAAGGCATTGCTATGTAGGGATAATAATGTAAACCAACCAAAGTCAAGCAATTTCGACGTTTTAAGGAGTTTGTCGTTAAATCGAGCTACGTTATAAAGAGTTTACACTGTATTTGCATGGCGCTGAGTTCAATCGACGTTTAATTTATTTCTAATTAACATTTCAGTTGTTTTAAATTTCTCTCGTTTCTAATTTATGTTTGTGCATAAGTGTATGGCATATCGTGTACAACAAACAAATATATCTACAGTGTGCCATACAGGGCGACCCAAAAGTTCGCAATATGCTCATTATTGGGCTAAACTGAAAGATTACTCAAACAATTTATTAAACAAAATTCGTTCCCTATCTTAATACAAGATCGTGGGTATTATACAAATTTGATTTCCTATATACAGTGTTCAAAAATAGAAAAAAGCAAGGTTTCGTTTAAATGACATGGGTCCAATCGAAAAAAGTTATAGGAAAAAGTCGTTCAAAATGCCAAAATTGGGGGATATGTAAATAATTTAAATGTTTTTTTTTGGAGTCAAATCACTTGAACGGAATCGAAAAATATTTGAATATCGTCGCGATTGTTTTTTCTATTTATGAACATTTTGTATAGGAAATCAAAGTTAGATAACACAGAAGATCTTGTATTAAAGTAAGAAACAAGTTTTGTTTGAAAACTTTTTTGATTAATATTTCAATGAGAACATTGCGAACATTTTGGGCCATTTGACTTGAATATCGTCCACCATATTTTGGCATTCTGAAGAATGTATTCCACTTGCAAGGATGAAAAATTGCAGGATGTTAAAAAAACAGTTGAAGAAACTTATGTAGTCCTGTTTTTGGACCAGATTTTTAGTTTAAGTTCGTGCAAAGTGTTGAAATCGGTCAGTACATACATTTTAATTATTATTTGTATATGTTGATTAAAAATTCATACGTAATAAGTGTGATTACAAAATGATTTTCTGCCTACGTCGAAAAATTATAAAGTGTTTGGAAAACCTACATAAAACTACAAAAAATAGTAGTACCTATTTTGCAATTTTATATTCCATTTGGGACTCCACAATTACCCACTCTTCCACCCAATTGCTTCCCACATTTCTTTTATTCCTGACAATTCTTTTTTCATTGCCATTTTTATCAGGGTCGTACTTGGTCATCCTCATTGACTAATAAACATGTCCCCGTTTGGGTGCCATCCAATTAGTAATAGTTTGCATAAACGTGTGGCAAACGGTTATTGAAATATGTTTGTGATAAGTAGTTGTTTGTACCCGTTAGATATCGGAAATATTTTAACACCTTTACAGTAGGTACCTAACTGGCACTATTGACAGTCCAAACGTTTCGTTCAGTTCAAATTAGAGGAAGTGATTGATTGTCAAATGGCAATATAGGTCATTGCGTTTATATGTTTCCGGTTTCTTACGTGCTGCTTATTTAACAAATTTTTTACACTTACTTAAGCACATGTTTGCGAAAGATTATACGATCTGTTATTTAATTTTTACGATTTCCCATAACGAAAGTGAATTGTAAGCAAATGAGGAGGCTTCTACATACAAAAGTTATCTGACTTAAATGCTGAAATTTTCTGTCATACATGCGACATGAAGGTCTAGTCAAAGGCATATTAGAGGCAGAAACAGGAGTTAGGAGGGGTAGAGGTAGGCCTATGTTAGATTACTGTTCGCAAATAGTCAAGGATTTGGGTTGTTCTAGTTTTAGGGAAATGCGTAGATTAGCTTAGGATAGGAAAGAGTGGAGGTGCGTGTCCAACCAGGTTTAGGACTGACGACCTTATGATAAGGAAGTCAGATATAACTCAGGATGGAAGGAGCAGTAGAGATATAGAACAGAGGATAGCGCAGGATCGAGTCGCTTTCAGTAAAAAGAAGTCATTTCTATGCTCACGAACGATTAATTTAGAAATTCGAAAAATATTGTTGGGGTGTATGATTAGAGCGCGGTGCTGTATGGGTTCGAAACATGGGTGGAAGGCGAGGTAAAATAAAGGTTGTAAGCGTTCGAAATGTGGTGTTACTGGCGAATGATGGGGAAATCGTGGATAGAAAAGGTTAGAAATGAAGAGGTATTAGAAAGAATAGGAGAACAGAGGACTCTATGGAAGTCAACAAAAAATAGGCGTGATAGGTTGGTAGGAAGTCTTCTCAGGCAAGAAGGTCTAGTCAGAGACATATTAGAGGCAGAAACAGGAGTTAGATGTAGACCTAGGTTAGATTACTGTTCGCAAATAGTTAAGGATGAGGGTTGTTCTAGTTTTAGGGAAATGCGTAGATTAGCTCAGGATAGGAAAGAGTATGAATGTACGTGTTCAACCAGTTTTAGGACTGACGACCTTACGATGATGGGAGCTTGTTAGTACTTGAAAGATGAAAAAAATATCGAAAATACCTTACTTTATTTCTATATTTCAACCATGTGTTATCCAGACATAGGAACAAGGAACGCACTTCGAGGACATTCATGTGGTTCCCTTTTTCCAAACAGTTTCTTTTTTTATATTAGGTGTTAAAATTTAGTAAAGCAAGAAAATATCAAATAGTAGAAATGTTTTTTTCCAGGAAAAGAATATGTTAAAGTTTCTTTGAGCAGTTTAACTCATTGAAAAAGTATTATTATGGACTTTGGTAATAGTAATTTCCTTTTAGAAATAGATTGGTTGCCTCTTGCCGGGCATTCGATGAAACATTTTAATCTTTAGTTGAATTTCCTTTTAAAAATGGCGTAATTTAACCGAAATAATTGTTTAATTTTATAATATTCGTATACTTACAGCAAGAGTTTCTATTCAATCAATTACTTTTATTTTGTTAAAAAGACGTTTTACTTTTGTCTTTTGAAGACATGAAGTTGGAAAAATATTTTGGGTACTTTTCCTTTTTTCTCCAACTTATTTGGTTGTTATTTGTAGAAACGTGTAAAAATTCCTTTTACTCGGAAACGAATTGTTGTTTGCTTTGGTACCATCTGTTATGTTAGAACTAATTGCAGAAATATGTATTGGTAGCATTTACTTTCTCTATAATGGTAATTAACCGAACAACGTACGTAATTAACGTCAAGTTATTTCACTTATTTGAATATATTTCACGGTAGAATTCGAATTTGAAATATTTATTCTTAAAGCTAACGATAAGAGAAATTTTAAATATTAATTATTTATGTATGCAGTAGTGCAGAAAACTTTGGGAGACCATTGCTCAAATAATACGTACGGGGCCTCCAACTTCAAAGTCCAAACTGCTGAACTTATTTTGGCTTTGAATAAAATAATTCGAAGTGGTCTGTATTCTGTCGAAACTGCCAGACGCGGATCGCGATTTCGATCTTTTTGGATCTCATCCATATATTTAAATAGACCTTGTTGGAGCATACGTAATTCTAAAATGTAGCATCGTACTACAGATGGTGTTTACCGCGCCATTTGTAGTATTTTCTAAAACGCGCTGTTAAGACAGCAGGTAAAAGTTGGTCTGTGTTCTGTCGGAGCTGTCTGCGACGCGCTGATGAGATCCAAAAAGATCGAAATCGCGATCCTCGTCTGGCAGTTTCGACAGAATACAGACCACTTCCAATTATTTTATTCGATTATGGTAACGTGCGTATCACGT